ATTTGCAGATATTTTTACTGGTCTTCCGTTATAAATATGCATTTCTCTAAACATAATTTAAAAGCAGTGCAAGGGAAGTAATCAAAACGTTGTATTTGGATTACCTCCCTTACACTGTTTTAAATTGTCTTAATTGTTCATTAACCATTACTTTATACATAATTTAAAAGCAGTGTAAGGGAGGCAATTCAAATGATGTATTTGATTTATCTCCCTTACACTGCTTTAAATTATGTTTTGTACTAAAATATTTGTCCATTAACCAGGACAACCTTGTTTTTTCCCCTTTTTTGCCCCTAATTCCTAAACGGTTTGAGCCATAACTCCCCAAAGCAAATCCTAACCATCCCTTTGTGGTATGGAAACGTGTGGTATAATTTCAGAGAGATCCATACACCGTTCCACAAGTTATTGTCTGGAAACTAGAAAATGCTTATTTTTGGCCCCTTTTTGACCCCTAATTCCTTAACTGTTGGTACCATAACCCCCAAAATCAATCTCAACGGCAACTTTCCTTTTGTGGTATTTAACCTTATGGTAAAATTTCATAGAGATCCATTCACTTAAACTAAAATTATAGTGCGAAAACCAATGTGTCTTCGGACGACGACGACGACGACGACGACGACGACGCCGACGTCATACCAATATACGACCGCAAAAACTTTTGACTGTCGTATAAAAAGACTAGACCAGACATTGATCAGATCTATAAAGGAGAGCTAATAAGTTGGCTTTTCATTGTTATCCAAAAAGGTAAATAGCTAATTACTCATGATTGATTGATGATTTTTAATGATTAGGCATTCAGGCAATAATGCAGCCATCTTAGAGCAGCAGCATACATGTCTAATTTTTTCTTCTTTTAAAATAAACCATCAAGAAACAGCTGATTTATCAGATTATTAATTACTGTTGCATGCATGACCCTAGTCCAAATAATTAAGATGTCTACAGTCTAGAGAGGTTATATTTTTTTTATTTTTGCTGTTACGCGAAAAGGCATCCAAAAAAAAAAAAAAAAGCCGTATAAAACATCATAATTATTTGGAATAGCATGGCCTATTTACAAAAATGAATGAATACAGTGTAATAAGGAAATTCATAGCTGTTTTGAAGAAATTAATTGGTAGTGCAGATAAACAAATTAAGTGGTTTAAAATTATGTACAAGAAGTTTAATATTTAGGTATGTATTAGTTCTAACTGTATCTATAATCTAAAGAGTTAACACTATGCATTCCACGTTCCAGTAATATCAAGACGAAGAACAGCAACACAAATCGCTGTCTCTGTTGTGTACCCTTGAGAAACGGCTAGTCGCAAAAATAATACGTCATGATAATTTTAATTTTTGCTAGGGACGCCATCCTTCGACCCATTCCAAATGGACTTTTGTTAACATAAGTCATACTTTGGCTTGATCTTGATCTTGATCATGATCTTGATAGGAATACGGTGATACATCCAAGGATATTAATACACTGCGCTTGCGTCAAGTAATTTACCGCCCATGCATGATAGTAAGTTACATTGTTTTTCACTAAATTTCTGTAATTCTCCTTCTTTATACTTTTATGCAAGAAACCTGTGGGTCTTTAGGACGCTTAAAAAGCCTGAAGGATGTGGGGATGTTTTTAATAAGAAAGTTATTTATAAGTTTGAAACTAAAGAGCAGTTTAAGTATTTAGGACACAAAATAGGGCACCTGGCTTTCTCGCTTTCCCCTTATTAATCAAATGAATCTTCTTTTTAGGGAGCTACAATGGATGACGTTAGTTAAGTTACTTTCGTACCATAGTTATCCTTCGTCCCAAAGACCCACAGGTTTCTTGCATAAAAGTATAAAGAAGGAAAATTACAGAAATTTAGTGAAAAACAATGTAACTTACTATCATTTCTATGCTGTTGCCAACAAATGTATCAATGAAATCAGTACTATGCTTGTATTGTTACATCACTGTACCAGTAAGGGGGCCGGGTTTGGCGCCAGCAAACTAGTTTAACCAGGGGCGGATTCAGGCGGGGGCGTGATGGGCCAGCGCCTCCTAAAATTTGTAAAGCAAGGGTTGTCCTCAGCTTAATAAAGAATATTTCATTAATTTTACCTTAAAAAAAATTAAGTTTCCCCCCCCCCCCCAACCTAAAATCCTGGTTCCGCCCCTGTTTACCCTGCCACATTAATTTCTTTATGTGCCTGTCCCAAGCCAGGAGCTTGCAGTTCAGTGGTTGTCGTTGGTTCGTGTGTGACATATTTGTTTTCCGAAAATTGTTTTGTTATAAATAAGCTGTTAGTTTAGTCAATTGAATTATTCCGTATTTTTCATGTCGTGTAGCCGACTATACGGTATGGGGTTTTCTTATTATTGAAGGCCGTACAGTTACCTATAATTGCTAACATACACTTCATTAGAACTTTGGTAGTTAAATGTCTCATTGGCAATCATACCACATCTCCTTATTTTTATATTGTAAAAAGTCCAATTACTTTTTGAAAACCAAGACCAAAAAGAAAACAGTATCACTGCATAAAATCTGAGACTATTATAACACAGTCTCATAGTAGTCTCAGATAAGTTCTATCCTGTTGATATGGTTAAAGTAACAGGATAGACTATATTTTATAGAAACTTCTTCAAATACTATATAAAATTGATATATATATTTTTGTTACACAAATTCAATGTTTGATTATTTGAACTGATTCCAAGATTAAAACATATTATCTTGGCAATTAAGCACACCCAATATGTAATACTGCTATTGAAAACAGGATAGACAATACGAGTACATGTAACAGGTTAGACAATACGAGTAACAGGCTAGGATAGAACTAAAACTTGCTAACGATAAAAAAAAAAACAAACAAACAAACACATGAAAATGGTGATAGGTAGCAACGTTACGTAGCGTGTTCCCGTGACCAAAACAAAAGTAAAACACTATGTGATGGACATTCTTAATGTTGTGTTTATTGGAAAGGGAACAGATAACTGAATTTGAAGAATTAATTGTTATATTGAAAATATCTGTGCTGATGGGCATTTTTACAACCTTTGAACACCAATTTTTAGAGTACATTCGGTACATCATTGAACATTGACAAACAATCTATCAATACACAGAAAGAAAGGTTCACGAAAAACAAGCTTAATCTTTGAGCGAGACCCTTTCTTAAGATAGCTTAACATTTCTTTTGAAAATTGTAACGGGATAGAAAAAAATATTACGCCACCTATCAAAAAATGTGTTCAACTACCGTGAAAGACTCATCAGTGACGCTATAATCAAAAAGGTTGAAAGGGCCAAACAAAGTAAGAAGTTGAAGAGCAATGAGGACCCGAAATTCTTAAAGGTTTTGCCAAATACAGCTAAGGTAATATATTCCTAGGGTAGAAAATCCTTAGCATTTCGAAAAACTCAAAGTTTTGTAAATAGATATAGGAAGATGTGGTATGAGTGCCAATGAGACAACTCTCCATCCAAGTAACAATTTATAAAAGTAAACCATTATAGGTCAAGGTACGGCCTTCAACACGGAGCATTGGCTCACACCGAACAGCAAGCTATAAAGGGCCCCAAAAATTACTAGTGTAAAACCATTCAAACGGGAAAACCAACGGTCTAATCTATATAAAAACGAGAAACGGGAAACACGTATGAACTACATAAACAGACGATAACTACTGTACATCAGATTCCTGACTTAGGACAGGTGCAAACATTTGCAGCGGGATTAAACGTTTTAATGGTACCAAACCTTCTCCCTTTTCTGAAACAATAGTATAACATCACAACATAGAAAGACACACTGTAAAATATCAATTGGAAGGCTTAACTCAATCAAAAAACGTAAATTAACACACAATGAACGAATAAATTTGATCTGTGATACCTGAATGCAAATACATAGTTAATAAAAATTATAAGGGATAAATAATTTAGGTCAAAAGTAAATAAACAGGTTTAAACAAAGTTAAAGTATGATACCACTGTGTGTAAGCAGTTTTAAATTTATAATTGTGACCATATCAACGATAATTCGTGTTAACACAGAAGTGCTGAATACTGGGCTGGTGATATCATCGGAGAGGAAACCTCCATCATATAATTTCTAGTTCGACATCGATCATTAAGATTGCAATTTTCATATGTTGTTCAAGAAATGTTGTGTGTAATGATTAGCTTAAAACAATGATGGTTTAAACCAGTATGTTTTATTCAATTTTGCAATTTAAAAATTCTACGTTGTTTTTAATCGACCCATAGACGTGCGGCAGCAATCTTACCCCGTGACGGATGGTTCATATAAACGGCTTCCATTGTAAGATTACATGTGTTAATATAACCAGGAACATGTCAAAAATGTAAATAATCTGAAATAATCTGGCATTAAATTCTGTGGGAAGTATCTGTAAAGCAGACACAGATAAATGTGTTTTTTGTGCGAGACACAAGCGCTTCAGTGTTATCCAAACATTACATTTAACCCATAAGTATCGTATTTACCACTGTCGTCTCACTGGCAATCATACCACATCTCCTTATTTTATATTGGCAAAAGTTTGTTTTCACCATAAAAAAGATTTTTTTTAAATGTTTGTTGACCTTTAAACGCCTTTTTGGCCCATACCTCACATAACCTTTTATTTTATTTAACAATGTATTCACACTTTGGTAACCGTACTAAATCAGCCACAAGACACTACTGATTACAATAAAACAAATAGTTGTCATTCAATCTCCATGCGAAAGACATATAGAAAGCAACAAAGCAATTTAATAGAGCATTGACTTTTGCTATATGATTTTCTAATGAAAGGGTGAATTGAATACCAGGAAAGGTTCTATTATTATATAACGGGACTAATACTTTCATAATATTATGACGGTTCTGATTAATGCGTAATAGATAGAATTTGGTTCCGATCAATGATTAGATAGAAATTTAATAACACTTAAAAAATAAGCAACACTTTCAACTGTAAGTTAACACTTTTATTTTTACTTTTTTCTAAATTCATCAAATTTGCAGTGCTACTTTATGTTAAAGAGACGGATATATTTTAAAGAATTTTAGCTCAAACAATTTTGACACACATTCAGGACTACTCATATCTACATTTTTCTTAGCAGGTAAAGAGCGTTAGCGAGCAACTTATTCGAATTGATATTGTTAATTTCAATAATTCAATGAAAGGTGCACTTAAATTTAACTCCATAAACAGATGGCAACAATGAAACATGGCGGATATTGAAGATGACAAGTTAGCAGAATTGGCTGTAAGTGTTAAATTAATAATATGTTTTATATATATATTAAAACAGAAACCCAAAGTATGTTCAGTGGTAGTCAACGAACACCAAAAGTGTACAACATTCAAATTACATTGACAATTCCGAGTACAATAAATATCAATGACTTCTGTAAATACGGTAATCCTGATTTCATGACAAAGACTTTTTTCTAATGGTAACACAGTTTCAAAACTTACGAAGATATGTGGAACTATGTTTTCAAAAAATAGAACATTCGCCAATGCAGTTTTATCTTCGGTATCATAAGCCGATGATGGATAAATGGATTTACATGTGTCTAAAAGAAGTTTCATCAAAATGCACGATTTTTTTACTATCAAACAGGAACGGAAATTGGAACGTTATACAAATCTAAGGTGTGAGCATGCATGGAACTTTCCCAAACAGAATAAGCATTCATAAGAAAACACATTTAAAGTGTATATATGTAAAAAAAAATGTTCTTATATCGTTTTCGGTAACATTTGTCAAATAAAAAAGGGGTTTCGTCGTAATTTACTTAAAGTCAAAGTCAAAAGAATTTAAATCCAAAATATGAATTGTTTCAAGCCACACACACAAAGCATAACAAACAGTTTTCATTACAATAGATAATTAGATATTTGATAATTATATAAAATTAAAAATAAAAACAAAATCAACATGTATTATTTTCTTCAATCTTGACTGAGGAGGTACAGAATTACAGGCAATTATTTACACAGTGCACTAATATATTAAGTAGATAGTATGATAAAAATTATACCAACCATATTATAAACGATAGATATTGAAATAAATCAAGCTAATGAATATCTAAATTTGTAAATTTAATATATTTGGTTACATGTATCTCCTCCTTGCTGGATATCATCTAAATATTTCAATCTTATTTTAGCGAACACGTGGACTAAAGCTAATTTGGTTGTCTAAAAACAAAGAGCGGAAACAAGCGAATTCCTTATTAGAAGAAGAAGTAGACTTAAATTTTAAAGATGAGGTAATTGCATATTAAACATTTCATAAAAACTTTATCCATTTTTTGTTGTTTATCTCCTTCATTGTACGTAGTTCGTGTAAAAGAATGAGTGTTAAAATCGACTATCAGTTGAAAATTAATCGTAATAACAGCATAGCACTTTATAAAAAACATCAGAAGATACTGCGAACGAAAGCTGGATCAAATCGAACTTGCATGTGGCATACCCGACTATTTGGCATAGTCTGGTATGCCACATGCAACTACATTTATTTAGAAATTGGATCAACATTCGGTAGTGATGTACGTGACATAAGTAATCTCTAGCTTTATGTTGTCAGTTCGATTTGATCCAGCTTTCGTTCGCGGTATCTTCTGATGTTATTTTATAAAGTGCTATGCTGTTATTACGATTTACGACCCCACTGCATAAATGTTCTAGACGAGGACATATTCTATGTGCTGTTTCTCTTGTAACACTTGGTGCAAATATGTCAAAATATGACAAGGTTGGTAATGAATATTTAGATGAGTGTACCTTATTCTCCAGTGCAAAAAAAAATCGTCCAATCAATTGATACTTCTAATTAAACATTGCAAAATACCAAATTCAAAAAAATGTATTTAACATATCTTTTAAAAAATCGAATAGTTGTTCCTGTTCAAACTCAGATGAATGATCCATATGAGTAAATCGAACAAGTATAACAAAAATGTAATTGAACAAGTGTAGCGAAAGTGTAATCGAACAAGTATAACAAAAATGTAATCGAACAAGTGTAGCAAAAGTGTAATCGAACATTTATAACAACAAGAGTGTACACGCTGAAATGACTCGCCTGTTTTTTATGTTTAAAGTCTTAAAGATAAAGGTTTTACCAAAAGTATCACATAAACTTAACATTTTTAAAGATCTATGAGAATGGGGTCAAGGTCAGATAAATCCTGTCAAAACAGACATATACACCTTACAATTTTTAAACACCAAATATAGTTGACCTATTGCTTATGGTAATATAAAAACAGACCAAAACACAAAAACTTAACATTGACCAATGAACCATTAAAATAAAGGTCAGATTATGCCTGCAATACAGACATGTACACCTTACAGATATTCCATACACCAAATATAGCTGACCTATTACTATTAGTATTTGAAAAACAGATCAAAACACAAAAAAAATTAATATTGACCAATGAACCATGAAAATGAGGTCAAGGTCAGATGAAACCTACCAGACTGATATGTACCCATTACAATCATTGCATACACACCATATTGTTGACCTACTGCTTATATTATTTGAGAAACGGACATAATCATGTAACTTTAACCTTGATCACTGATCCAAGAAATTAGGTCGAGGTCAGGTGAACCCTGTCTGGTGGACATGTGGTCCACATGGTGGACATGGTTGGCGCATATTAAAACGTTTAAAAGCGCTGCATTTGTTTGCACCTGTCCTAAGTCAGGAACCTGATGTTCAGTGGTTGTTGTTTGTTGATGTGGTTCATAAGTTTTTCTCGTTTCTCGTTTTTATATAGATTAGACCGTTGGTTTTCCTGTTTGAATGGTTTTATAGCTTGCTGTTCGGTGTGAGCCAATGCTCCGTGTTGAAGGCCGTACTTTGATCTATAATGGTTTACTTTTACAAATTGTGACTTGGATGCATGGAGAGTTGTCTCATTGGCACTCATACCACAGCTTCTTATATCTATGTAGACATTGCAAAGAACCCATTTACCAAAAATAGTTATCCTATTAATCATAATAAGTGAGAAATTCACATGACAAAAAAACTTTTTTTTTTCAAGCAGTCGATGAACCATGAAAATGAGGTCAAGGACAATGAACATATGACAAACGGAAACTTCGTAACATAAGGTATCTGCATACAAGATATGAAGCATCCAGGTTTTCTACCTTCTGAGATATAAGCTTGATACTAATAGTTTACGCCGTCGCCGCCGCCACCGCCGCCGGATAGCAATACCTAAGTCTAGGTGAGACAAAAATGTAATCGAATAAGTATAACAAAAATGTAATTGAACTAGTATAACAAACATGTAATCAAACAAGTGTAGCAAAAAAGTAATCGAACAAGTATAACAAAAATGTAATCCAACAAGTATAACAAGAATGTAATCGAACAAGTATAACAAAAATGTATTTCCTATAAGAACAACCCAACATATTTATTTTAACTAAAACGGAATATTCCCTCTCATACAGCATGGCCAGACACCACTGGAAGTAGCCGTAAAATCTAGAAATATTGAGATGGTCAAGCTAATCTGTTTGTTTGGTGCTGAACCGTCATTACAGGACTGGGTAAGGATAAAGCTTGATCTATAGGGCACCTGTTAATAAATACATGTATTGTTTGACTAAAAAATCTCAGCAACATCAGTTTAGAGTTCGCATGAGACAGAATTTGACTACAAGCGATGTATTGTGGATCTGGATAGGATTTACATAATAGAGAATAATGGGCAAAAAATGCAGAATAAAAGGGGGAAAACAAAGAATAGTGAAAAATAGGCAAACAAAATAAAGAATAGATAATACTGCAATCTCATTAAACTCAGCTGTTAGTTTTCGCTACCATACACTCCACCCAAAGAGGAAGGGTAGCGTATCAGAACATCGGTTTTTAATCAGATTGGGGAGCTAAATACAAAGAATAGAGAATTATGGGCAAAATAAATAAAGAATAGAGAAAAAGGGCTAAAAACTGAAAGAATAAAAAATGAAAGACCCCCATCTAGACTCTCATATATTATGACAATATCAATAGTGCACATTAAGCATCTTTCGTCCTGATAAAAAAAGGTTTATGCTCGTCCATTTGAAAGAAATAAATGTCTGCTGTAATTAGCACTTGGTTAATCTGTTATACTATTCGTGTCTGAAATCTTTTTGGTAGATAAAGGAATTTGACAAACAATTAGTCTTTCATAATTTTAACCATTAATTTGAAACTGGGATTTAATTCTAGAAAAGTTGTATTACAAAAATAAGAAGATGTTGTATGAATGACAATGAAACAATTATCCACAAGATACCAAAAGGAAGAGGATGTAAACGACTACAAATTACATATGGCCTTCAACAATGAACAAAAGTCAAACTTTGGACAGGCACGTACAGAGTTTGATGAGATAAACTGTAAAAAATCAGTTAGAAAGGATTGGCAATAATTAAAAAAACAAACAGAAAAAAAAACCAGATATGCAAAAAACGACCCAAGAGTACTCGAAATTACTGAAAGCTAGTTCAAAGCCCAATATCAACAAATAAATAATAAGTGTTGCTTTTCTTTGCTTACATGTCTGTCACCTTGTAGTCTTGGACAATGAAAGAACTAGACCAAAAAGAAAATCAGATATTAGAATTGCTTGTTAGCCAACATAGTCGAATGCCAGGTTATAAATATGGGTATGTTTATTATGAAATAAGATATTAACACAAATACCGCAACACAAAGGATTTTGTTAGGATGACTTCATTCAACATTTGCGATACTTATTATTTGTTGCCCTATCTGATGATCTTTAGCGCCTGCGCGGTATAAAATAAATGGACAGTTCTGTTTAAAAAAAATACATGCTTTTTGTTAAAACTAGCAACCAAAAGTGACTGCCTAAAACTAAAATTGTGACTATCTGGACATTTGACTGTTTTTACAAAATCAAATGGTACAAATTGTACTTCTCCCTTGACCACGGTTGATTTTTACTGGTTGGGTCAATAATTATAATCCGTCACTTGCAGTGAGAGGCGAGCATTTGATTAATGTTGAACCCTCACTGTGACTTTGAGATGAAGAATAACAATAAAAGCTTGGTAGTTCATATTCTTCCAGTGTTCAGTGCATTTTTAGTTTCTGAAGCTAGATAAGTATAGCCTTTTTTTTAAAGCCTATCAAAGCTCTTCTTAGATATACTTGCATTGATTGCTTGATTAATTGGTTGGTGTTAAACGCCACTTTAAGCACTAATGGTTATTTCGTGGCTGTCAGTTTTTATTGGCGGAGGAAGCCGGGGAGCCACCGACGAACATTAGTGTAGTAACTGTAAAATCATGAATTTATTAGGGTTCACAGCTATATTGCATCGTAAATAGTGATGAAAATAAACATAGGCATTTTAACACTGATCAATTAACATTTGTTTCAGTTCAATTCTACAGACAGTTTTGTATGTTTCACCTAAAGATGGAAACAAACTTGAGAATATTGGAGTGGAAGTACTGAAATGCGATACGTCTTCGCCGTTTTACTTTTATTGCAGTAAAATGCAGACAGAATATTCTGACATTCGGAGTAAATTAACAGACGAACAAGAAACATACGAACTTTGCATTTGGGATTGTTCGAGCCAAAGTTTGAAACTGAAATTTACAGTGCCAGGTGTAACTCAGTGTAGTGAAAAGTTGTTTGCCATTACTCTTGAAGGAAAGCCTGTTTCTGTTACAAACGTCTATAGACATCTTGCCGAGGAGAGCGTAGTAGAAGATGACGTATGTACAATAAATCATAGTCAGTGATTCTTTCAAATATCCCTCAACAGCTGCTTCATCATAAATGAGGGTCTGGATGATGGGAGGGGGGGGGGGGGAGGGGGTACTTCATTTCTGTATTTAAAAAAAAGATAGGTAATTTTTCTCTACTCTTTATTTTTTGCCCTATTTTTCTCTTTTCTTTTTTTTCCCCCATTTTCTTTAGATTTGGCCCATTATTTCTACATTCTGTAAACCAAATCCAGACCCTCATAAATGTAGAAGCAAATATATAGACAAGTGTTCAGAAAGTTAACAGTTAAAATGTTCGACAATTCAAGATATATTACAATTACACATTTTTTATGGTCTCATCAAGCTTATATTTATTTTTAAAAGGAAGTTATCTTTATATTCATTATTTTCTTTCGTTTACTAGTAGTAAAAAAATGAGTTTTGATCGATAGAAGAAAAAAATTTAATCTCCTTCGGCCTTGGTGAATAGTTGTATCATTTGCAATTATACAATATTTCCTACTTTTCATAATAAGATTAACAAGCTTTGACTAATATGTTCACCTCTTTGATATGGATATCAAGAATATATTATAAAACACATATTTCAGTTCACAGAGGTACTAGTGTTCCATTAGAAGAAAGGAAGCTGTCCAGATTTGCTATTGTAAAGCAATCTACGCCAGAAATATTCGCTATATCAAATGAACAAGCAACAACGATTATTCCGCAGATGGAACCTGACGCAGAAATCAATATACCGCAAGGGACTTTTGAGCAACCTAGTGAAATGGCAGTAAATGTAAGCTTTGAAACAATAACAAGAGGAACATATTGTCATAGATCAATTAAATTTATGATTTGAATCTGCTTACACCTTTCGGAGCACCTGAGATCAACCCAGTTTTTGGTAGGGTTCGTGTTGCTCAGTCTTTAGTTTTCTATGTTGTGTTTTGTATACTGTTGTTTGTCTTTTGGTCTTTTTCTTGAATTGCCATGGCGTTGTCAGTTTGTTTTCGACTTATGAGTTTGCATGTCCCTTTGGTATCTTTCGCCTCTCATTTCTCTGACATAAATAAAAAACGAAGTAGTCTATCCTTTATTGAATGAAGATATAAAATCATATAATGTTGATATTAAACAAGCTTGAATTTGTGTTGACTTTACTTTACTCTAGTGATTACATAAAGATGACATATCATATTCCGTGAGAATTTTTGCCAGAGGTTTCATTTGGTACTGTACCGAGAAATGAATTACGACAAGTTATACAGGTGCCAATATGTGTCGAGGCCTGGCTGCAGAGTATACACCATATTTGAACATATTTTTGTAATTTTTTTCTTAGATTGTAGAAACTAAAGAAATCAATAAAGAAGAAGACAACGGCACAGCTATATTACTGACTAGCGTCTTAGAACTGACAGTAAACAATGGACAACAACCAAAGGAACCAATACGTGTAGTCATACCAATACATGATATGGAGGCCGTGTCAGACGATATCGTCGTGTTGACCTCAACAACTGACCAACCAGAGGACTCAGAATTAGACTGGGAAATTAGAGATGCAACGATTAATCCAGACGATAAGTCAGCATTCTTTTATGTCAACCATTTTTCATTGTAAGTGGACTTGACTTGATGTTTTTGTTGTTTTTGGTGGTGTTTTTTTGCTTATGGTTGTAATGATATTCCTAGATTTACAAACGTTGCCGCCAAGTCAGTCTGACCGACAAATCAAACTGGCCTGTTCTATTATTTTAGTTTTCTATTCGTGGTAAAAATTAGTCACCTGGAAATAAAATAAAAAATAATTATTTTGCAACAAAATATATAAAGCTACAAAAAGTGATTTCAAACGGGAAAAAATGCCTATCAAACATACGCTCTTTTCGTTCTATTTACAGGAAGAAACGTGTTGTATTTTCCCTTCTGACTAAATGAATAAACAGCAAGTCATCTGAACTCGTCGCGCTGGGATGAGACAGTTAGATCAAAGAATCGAACACTGGACAAGCAATGGCTATGATTGTTCTACATTGCAGAAAAGTGACGTTTACCATGCACAAATCGGTCAGAGTTTCAATGTAAGATTTTCTAGTCATCAGTAGAAACACAATTGTATTTACTTATACATTACTACATGATTAATCAAATTATTTCTTATGAAGTATGTCAGATTTAGGAGCAGATCCAGGATATTGTAAAAGGGGGTTTGTAATTCGAGGACAAAGAATATATACTGACAAAATTTTGGACGATTTTATGCTAAAAAAATCGTATAAATCATGAGACTTTTGTTGATGATTAAAAAGGGGACGTAAGCCCTGTACGCAACCTTGATCCGCCAATGAGGTTTATCATCTATTCTTTAGTATAAAAATTTACTTTGTATAGGGATATAGGGTAAGGAGTATAGTATGCTTGCTAATAAGACAACTATCATACAGAACAGAACTTGTATTTTTACATAACTTTTGGAAAAAAACATGCTATTTACTATACCAAAATTGAAACCCGAAATATTGGCATTTACCCATCCACTTACCGTATTTTTTTAAACTTACTATAATTTATACCAACTTTCTGGGTATTTAAATTGGTTCGAGAAATTAAGATGATTTTGAACTTTACTCAGATAGAAGACTTTCGTATCTGAAACTTTGCCTTTTTTTCTATATATGTATATAGTTCAGACTTAATGGAAACTTGACAGACATGGCAGACGAGGACACAAAATGTATAACACTTCAAAGTAATAGAAATAATTCCCGCTTTTTCAACATCGGAGTTAACGAAAGTGACGAACAACCAAAGGGAGAGCTGGAAATATTTCAAGAAAAAGAAGCGGATGAAGTGCCAAAAGAATACCAACTGTAAATTCAAAGTCAATCTGGTGCACTTCGGCGACTGTACCCAAACCACATGTTGCAAGTGTTGTAGAAAGTTTTTGAAAATGAATGTAAAAATTCCAGAAAAACAAGGTAATTTATTTGCGGTTTTATCAATGTCATGAAATTTTTCATGTGCATGTTTCTTGTATGACAATTCCCCTTCTATGTTTCATTTTTTTTTTCGAAGCGCTAATCAAATATAATTTGACACTGGTGTTGAAAACGGTGTTTAGCTGTCTCGAATCCTCTTGATGCAGTAGAATTTTTCTCTCTGGGTTATGGACAATGGTGTACTACGTATACTTTTTTATCTAGCTATACAATGTTTAAGGGTTTAGCTTTGGCCAAATAAAGTTATACGTCTTATCAATTGTTCTATACAAGATTTGGTTTTGACTTTGACCATATACGATCGAGTCAACTCTATTATGGCGTACATTTCATTGACGTATAAGGGCCTCGGTGGCCGAGTGGTCTAAGAAGTCGAACAACTGTATCACTAGCCAATCAACACTGAGGTTGTGAGTTCGAATCCCGCACGGGGCAGGTGCACTTGACTCCAATTTTAATTGACTAGGATTGTTAGTTTTCCTACTGAAGGTCGGTGGTTCTTTCCGGACACTCCGGCTTCCTCCACCATTAACCACGAAATAGCACAATAGTGTTGAAAGTGTTGTCAAACACCAATCAATCAATCATTGACGTATAAACCGGAACTCCTTTTTATAATCATATTTATAATGTAAAGTTGGGGGCAAGCGAACAATTTGGTAAATATGTTGTAATGCTTCTTTTGTTTTCCTTTCATGGAACTTGGGAGAGTTACATGTATTAACTTGAATTCCTTGCAGGGGTCAATGTCCTAAAAAATCTAAATTTTTGTCAGAATAGAGACGGTCAGAACATTATATTTGCCAGATAAAACACAATGCATATTGTTCTTCATATCATCACAAGACAGTATAGTGACTAAGTCTGTTATTCAGTCTTGTTATGAAAAATCAGTTGAGCTCCATTGACAAGATTTCTTAGTCATACTTGACTAAAGTGAAAATACATCAATAAAACTAATTTAGCATAACTGTATCATTCTCTTACATGAAATATTTTCAATAATCTGCCGTTTTCTAATGAAACCAGATACGTTTAGGGACATTAGAGATATTGTTTAGGTACTTTGTACCTCATATCTAGCCTCATCAAAACTATTGTTACACGAATTTCTTATTTTGTTATAAATGCAATTTATAAAATCATATGAATTGATTTAATTCTGTAACAGATTTAAATGAGAAACATTACGACTCTAACATATGTACCTTCTTTTTTTATTACAGTAATCGCAGAAGAAAAGCCTGAGGTACAATCAGGTATATATGATAACATTTTTTTCAATAGAGGACTTATTATTGGCAAAATGAGTACCATGACTAGCTCATACATCATTTATAAAATTGCTGATAATAATTTCCTAAAAAGACAAAAAACACACTGCTTTTACAAAAAAGTGATTACCCTATTTTTGAAAAAATACATAAAGTGGTGAAGTAGCATTGTTTTATACTGCAATTGAGCTATTTGTGCAGTCAAAATGCATTGACCGTTTTTATATAAAAAAAGGGATAAAAGATATCAATGGGTAACTCACAAGTCAAGGGGAAACTGACAACGACATTGCAAAAAAAAACAAGAAGATAAAAAGTACACAAAACATTGTAACGTAGAAAACTGGAAACTGAACAGCATAAACACCATACCACCTCCCTCCCCCCCCCCCAAAAAAAAAAATTACAATGTAATACAAATTTGGGTTGATCTCAGGTGCTCCTTAAGGGTAAAAAAAAATTGATCCACTAGTGGCATCCGTCAGATTGCTCATGGTCAGCACATATTCGTGGTAAGTCACACTCAGTGATGTCACAATAGAGGAAAAGAGAACAGGATGATTAATGTTGGCTTTATACAATCACTGACCCAATGAAGCCTTGTACTGGGACGTTGATAATGCAAAATTTGAAGATGTGGTATGATTGCAAATGAGACAACTATCCAATAGACACAAAATGACGTAGATGTAAGCATCTATAGAGTTTTCTTCGAATTCAAAATTGACGATTTCTACCTAAAATATTTCATTTGGAAAAGTTTTATGAATTTTAGTATAAAAACAACCATACATACATTTTATTTGATCTTCAAAGTTGGCCCAAAGCAAGATGTGCTTCTCTAACGATCGCATTCTACCTATTTCTAAGCCCTGTACATTATATATTTTAAGAAAATGTAATGGTATTCTATATTTGTTTGACTGCTGTATGAGTAAATATGGTATTAAAATGTGTATTTTAAATGCAAACCCTTCTTTTTAGATGATGACGAAGATGACGATCAACAGAGTAGTGAAAACATAGAAATACAAGAAAATGAACCGACAACAAATGGTTTGTCTGCCTTTAGTCATAAAAAATAAAATGTATTCTTTTGATATTTGTTCACAGGAAAGAAAATATTATTCTTTAAGATAAATGTATTACATGGTGTGTTTTATATGCCTATCCTTATTTGAGACATCATTAGGGGCGGATCCTGGGTTTTGTAAATAGACCGTTGTCATACATTTTATGACACAAAAGAGAGAAAGTAGGCGGAGATTTTATTAAACTATACGGGTTATGTTTCATTTATTTACCCCCGTTTCATAGATTTGTTTGTATAAATGCCAATGCATCTTTATAAATAAGACTATATGGTAATTTCAATCACGGCGATAAAAAGTGATACTTTTGATCTGAAACTACATGCATGGGGCGCTCCTCGATATTTGCATGTATTACGGAGAATAACACAAGAGAAATGAAATTTAGAAATTTTTAATGAAAAAGTTGATGAAGACTTCATTTAAATACTTTATTTAACATTTTTGCGCCTGTCCGAAGTCAGGAGCCTCTGGCCTTTGTTAGTCTTGTATCATTTTTAATTTTAGTTTCCTGTGTATAATTTGGAGTTTAGTATGACGTTCATTATCACTGAACTAGTATACATATTTGTTTAGGGGCCAGCTGAAGGACGCCTTCGGGTGCGGGAGTTTCTCGCTGCATTGAAGACCCATTGGTGGCCTTCGGCTGTTGTCTGCACTATAGTCGGGTTGTTGTCTCTTTGACACATTCCCCATTTCCATTCTCAATTTTATTTAATACAGTTTTTGGCTGACATTAACGACTTTCCATTTTTCAAATTAAAAGTGAAGCATTCATAAGACATTGAGACATCGACCCTAAAACACAATTAAAGGGGCATTAGCTACGAGATATATAAAAAAGTAACTTACGATTTTTTGTGGTTCAATCATTAATAAAAGTGAAATAGTGAAATACTAATTTGCTTTTAGAAGCTACATTAGTTCAATTTTGTCAAAATAAGCTAAGAAACATCGCTGATGAATTATTCACCATTAGTTAGAGATTGGTTACGCATGTCTTAGTCGTGTTCTGCAATTAAAAGGAAAAGAATGTCAATATTGAAAGTGAAATGCTGATATATATTATCGTGTCCATGCATTAATATTTGTTTATTTCAGACTTATTGTAATTTGGATATACGTTTTAGTATGTTATAAATAAAATATGAGAATTTGAGTCAAATCGGTGAACATGAATTTGACAGCTAATGCCCCTTTAAACTAGAAAATTTCAGGGGCACCACACGGTCTTCAATAATAGAAGTGTCTGCACTACAGGTCGATCGCCCTGAGTCTATTGACAAGTCTGAAATACATTTTGTATGGCCTACCAAGATAAGCCATGGGCATTGCAATTTTTGAAGGACACAAAAAACATAGAAGTTTTAAACAAACGCAACTGTTGACGAGGTTCCTGGCTTTGGGAAGACATTTTAATATCTGTTAGGGATAAACTAGATTTCTTTGAATGCTCAATGTATCCCCTAATTAGCTGACTAACAAAATGAACAAAAAAGAAATGCCAGCAATTACAAACTGCATAAATCTAAATATGACTAAATCAAGTGTTGTCTCCTTATAGCAGTTGATGCCTGAGGAAGAAAAACAGTTCAGAAATCCTAAATCTGATAAAAAAAAACTATATCCATGAACATGTTCAGACGATTCCATAATGGAGTAATATTCCTCTCATGATTTTTATTAACTTTTACCATTTTGGAAATTATAGTCAAACAATAACAGAGAGAATGTAATCCATAAAACTGATAAGCAAGCAAGTTGAGATCTACAGATATGTGATTGGTCTATAATATTGTAATGGCTGATTAGTTAATAACTAAATTAAAAGTGTGTCAATTAAAAGTAGTCTTACTTAAGACTGAAAGGTTGTTAATCCCTCGTGTAAAGTTGGCCATAAAGCAATTCATCTGTTCTATTTAAGGCCGTCTACGTTTGGTGCTCTTACACGGTTCGGTGTTTTGCTTGTCGAATACTAGTATTCTGTTTTTAGCGTAAGTGGTTAATGTAATTCCAGTAACACCTGTCCGGTTTGAACTGCAATCATTTTTTTTTAATTTGACCCATCCTTCGTTGTTTTTGAAACAATTGCAAATTAAAATCGGTATCATGCATTTATATTATCCAAATGCATTTTTTTTTGGCAAAAAAACAAGCAGCGTGGTTTGGCACAGCTGGTGATTGTCTTGACGTGCTCTTGCTGAACCTTTTGGGTCAATGATTCAATAATTGTTGATACATTTTGGATCAAACCAAGACTTTCTAACTGCTATATTCAACTACGCATGCTGTTCTTCAAATCAACATATGCCGACACTGTGACGTAGAGTGAACCATGAAGTCATATAAAATGTCTTACTTGATGGTAGTGTTTTGAATAGTACGGATTGACCAATGGTTCTTACAGATAAGTTCAAGAAAGTGGGCTACTTTTATATTACAATGGTTGGGTCTGCATGTTTGATAGCTAAAAAGATGTTTAATTTTATTACATCGTAGAACGTTGTGGTGCACTGTTGTTGTTTTAAAATTCTGCATTCAAATAGTTTTTTAATTGAACAGATGTTCAATTCATTTTTTAGCTATGTCTTACAGGACTAATTTGTAGCTAGATTGACCCGCTATCCTTTAACCTGTATGGCTTTTACAGATGATAACATCATTAATTCACTAGTCATTTTCGTTTTTCCTCAATCAATCTCACTGGGAAAACATTCCCTATGTATCTAATTCATCGAAACCATGTAATAGGTTAGCGCCACGGTCCTTTTTTGAACGGCGTCAGATTCGAAAAAAAATTCAAGGGGATATCTGTACAGTATGAGTGCAAATTTTCTGTCCACATTAACCATGCTTTTGACGATTCCGATAATAATTTTATGAGTATAACACACAGAAAAAGGAAAAAGAAAAATTATAACTGAAAAGTCAAAATGGAGGATACCAAACAATACTGTGCAGGCTATGACGATCCATGGTGGACAGTCAGTCATGCATTAGATGGGATAGGCGACACATAAATGCGGTAAATATTTTAGATACTTTTCGCCATTGAATAGAAAAATATATTGAGATTGATTAAATTGTTAAAAAAATTATGAAAAAAAAAATGGAGAAAACATACTGAGGAGGCAATTGGAAACATTTAAGTCAAAGAAAAACAGACAGCTTTATGGCTAAAAGAAAAATAAAAGAACGTCTATACAAAAACTAAAGATTGAGTGGGAAAACTCTTCCAAAGCTAGTGATCCGGAAGGATAAGGAGTTCCTGCTCCAAAGGTGACATTCGTCATATACAAAAAAGGAATCAATAGAAAATGCCCGCATTGACACATGTGATGTCACTGTACTCTATAGACAACAACAAAAATATTATTTAATTGTTATGGAATTAAATGCTTTTAAAATTTATACGAAATGAAAACAAGTGACCTTCACATTTGGCATGAAGCTTAAAATGTGATTGTCAATTGCTTTCAATTCATATATATTAAAAAAAAACAGATTTAATCGTTATATTTACAGATTTTTGAAATTAAAATAAATATGTAATTTTGAATTTCAGAGCTCTGATCTAAATTTGAGGGACAATACATTATAATAACTCGTATGTTAACTTATGCAGTTATTATGCAAAATGCTCGAGTAAAAATCAGTACAGTCTAGTATGTAACTACTGCCCATTTCAGATTTTATCTGGTTTCATCGATAATATTTAGATACACAATTAAGCCACAGAAGGCTTGTACAAAACAATGTTTTACTACAACATGCCTTATATAAATGTAGGAAAAATATATTTGAGGGTATGGCTGAGGCTCATATTTAATTTTGACGAAAACTATTTCAGGTAAATTAGTCAATTTCGGCATGTTTATAATGTCATAGTGCCATCAAAACGAACATTAATTTTCTGACCTAAAGTGTCAAGTTAATATCATTCTATTTATTTACTAATAAAAATTATATAACTTTAAAAAGGATGAAATTCAATTTCAAGGATTAGATAATGGCTCTTATAATACCTCTTCTTTTTTAAAAATGATCTTTATAAAATACATTTCCTTCAAGAACATCTCCACCAATTGAAAAAAGTATAACAAAAATACTGAACTCCAAGGCAAATTCAAAAAGGGGAATTCCATAAAAACTGACAAAATCAAAAGCTATCAATCAACAGAACAAGTAAAAAACAACTGCCATATTCTTGGCTTGTGACGCGTATTTTCCTAAGAAAGTGGTGGGTTAAACCTGGATTTAGAGCTTGCTAAACCCCCACTTGTATGACAGTTGTTTATAGTTCCGTTATATTGACAAAATTGGATAAGCAACCCAAACAGACAAAATAAGTTAATGTGACAACAATTGTGATCCTCCAGTTAACACTGTGCAAACATACATCACAGACATAAAAACTAAAAGAAATAGAAAAGTAAGAATTTTATTTCTTCTGCCCATGTTTATATTATAACATAAATGCATGTACAAACAAGCTCTTTAAAAAATAATCATTTAGTTGCCTCTTTTGTATTTCCATGGGTAATACATTGGTCCCAGTCAGGCCAAAATGTCTCTTTCATTCTTTCACAATATTCACATAAGTTTCTGTATTCTGAAAATAAAAATTAAGATTTCTAAATTGTTTTAGTTCAGTTAGTTTTCCATGTTTTTGGTAAATGCATATTCTAATAATAAATTAGTAAAAGGTTTACATTATTTTCTCACTTTACATATAGTTCATTTATATATATGTTACAAAAGTGGAAAAGGAAAAAAATACTAAAAACTGGATTTTTCTAAATGACATTTTAGTAAAAAGTTTTATGTGTCCATATTTATGCCAGCATGCATAATAAAACATCTATAGAAAATCTAAAGGGCTATATATTACAGAATCTTTAGTTTATAGTAGATCGTTTAACATAAAAAAAAGTCAACCATGCATGCAATTTGTATTATTTTCTGTTACTAGATGCATTATCTTAACTAACCAAAACAATAACATTAAATTTACAATTACCAAGTAGTTCAAATGTGAAAAAGGAAGTAGACATTTGATAACATACTTCCGTTTTGTTAGTTTTGAAGCCATCGTCTTCATAAATGGATTAAAAAACTACGTTTCATTAGTAGAATGTTCGTATAAATGTTGTACATTCAAATGAGAATGAAAGTGTCAATCAGTTCATCAATTGCATCTTATACTTTCTAGGTTTTATTGAATTGAATATTCTCATTCGGAAGCAACACATATAAGGATAAGCCACACATTTAGCTATATGATACTTACTTTTGATTGTTGATCCTACTGGACTTCCGAACGATTGCCAGTAAGCATTACCAATAAGACCAAATACACTACAATCTGCTTGACACGGCTTGTCTCCAAGCAAGAATTTTTTATTACCTAAAACAGAAGTTCAAGTAAAGTAAAAAAAAGTTACAAGCTCCTAATTCTCAACTATACACTGCGTTGCAATGCCACTTTTGACACTATTTCGCTGAATTGGCATATCAGATTGATGTATAGGTTAAGCAACAAATTTCATATACTAGTAATTTTAGAGAGTCAATGTATGAACAAGCTTTAGAAAGCATGTTCCATTATATTCCTTAAAGAGCACTTTTTTTCAAATAAACATCTGACTGCACATAGGAACATATATAAATATTTTACATTAGATGTAATTGACCGTGCACAGCCGAGGGAATCACAGATAAAAAAACGAAAGTCCCTTTTGAAGCCAGGTGCAAGAGTCAATTATCGAAAAAGTTTGAGTAATGCCGACTTTATTTGCATCCGAATTTACAGTTGCAAAATGCAAATATTTGGACTATGCTTTTTTTTTCTATGAACCGCTATGAAAGGTTTATATTGACTGTTATACTGCATCAATTCTCAAAGATTTTAAAGTTCAACACTCTTGCCATGTTATTCAATCTAGCTGAAAACACTTTTTGAACCAATTCAAAAATAGTAAAGGATTTAGTGAGATTGTTCCAAAGTTGTAATTTCTATGGATAGAAAATTACATTATTTTGCTTATTTATGTAATATAAATATAAATAAGAAGATTTGGTATGAGTGCCAATGAGACAACTCTCCATCCAAGTCACAATGTATAAAAAGTAAACAATTATAGGTTAAAGTACGGCCTTCAAGTATGTCAGGTGAGCAATTCAATAAATATTACACAGTGACCAACACTTTACCTAAGAAGTCTGATAAAGCCTTAAAATCAAGCTCCATAATATGATACACCTCATCTGGACTATGTCGTCCCATACCATGGGCATACGACATTTTCTTCATATTTCGTCTGATAAAATAACCAGTTAATGTTGGAATTTTCATTACTTTACACGCTGTCCAGTCTTTATCATATACCCATCTGTCTATTGCAAATGCCCTGTTTTGAAAGGAAGAATGATTAGTCAAAACACTGGTAGTTTTACATAGGCCAATTATAAACTCAGTTCCAATGAAAAAAAGCCAAAAAGATATTGTCAAGACAAATTATTATCCATTTAAGTAGACATAAACCTAAGTATTTAAAATGAACATTCATAAATTGAAACCTGCTACATTAATACTTTGTGATTTATATATTTCGAACTATTTCAAATAAAAACATCATTCATTTATTGACTGGTTATGAGGATAATCGCATGTGTGTTGTCCTGAGAAAGCAACTATTGCTCTAGGCGAATACTATTTCTTATTTCTTATTGTAAATGACAGATCGAAATAAATATGAACAAACATTTGAACTAATTCAATGAATGCGCATTGTAATATTTTTTATGCGACTTTATTTCATTTTGTAGTATTTTCAATAATCTCTTTGAATAGTTTTATGAGTACGATATACAGTACTTGTCACGATGGGAAACGTTTGTATAAGGGAAGGGAACATTCGATGTATTTCTAAATATTGACAAATGTTAAAAAAAAAAAGATGTAGTGATGTACTTTTGATTCATTATTGTTTATGGGGTACCAATTTTCGTTGAATTCGTTGAATTCATGGGTACAGGGAAACCACGAATTTAAATGTTTACCGAAGTATAAAATCATATATCTAAAAAAATATATATGCTTTTTCCTCAATCCACGAATATATAGGATCCAAAATTAAAATTAAACAACAATTGGTTCGGATTTTAAAAGTCAAAAATAGGAAATGTGTGTAATACATCAATGAGACCGAATCTCAACAACACAAAAATATATATCTAGAGGACAATATACAACAAATCTGCTTAAGAATGTACTTAGGTGAAATGAAAAATATCTAGAATTAAAAATTGATACTATAAGTCAGAAGAGCATTAGTTAAGGAACAAAATAAGCTAAAAATATTGATAGGTTATTGAACTCCTTTTTGAGATATTTGATTTAAAAAAATGGCGGGGAAAGGCTGACTCGGACTTTTACCTTATATTTAGCATTGGCATTATTTGGGTCTCAAATCGTAAGAACAGAAATCTAGAATCTGCTTAAATTTTGGTAAATGACCTTTTATGAGCTATTGAAATCTTCCATAAAAAGAAAAGTTGGTGAAATGGGGCAAACTATTTTACCCTGTATCAATGGAAAAAACCCAAGGAGTCCGAACATCTGACAAGAATTCCTAAACCTGACCCGAGTACATCCTTAAGAGGAACAGGTTGTCAAAAGCGGACACGGTGATTGCAATATAACCAATGATTCTAGAGTCAGAATATCATTAGTGTATATTTATATTAGGACTTGTTTGATAACAATTGTGAAGTGTCGTATTCAGAATATTCAGACATATAAAAATTGAATGTACGTGTCTACATTGCTACCTTAGTACTCTTGTGCGAATGGGAGATGACTCTTAAAAAAATCTTAATATGTTAGTTTATGTTGTGAACTAATGCTAATATTTTTCTTTTTTAAATGCATGCTATGGTATTCTGACATACGTGTATTATTTCAAAACGTAAATAGCATTTAAAAGAAATGACATACCAATAAGTGTTTTCTTCTAATTTAAAAGAAATTACATACCAATAAGTGTTTTCTTCTAACATTTTTTGGAAAGCTCTTGCTATTCCCTTTTCCTTTGCTGTAAAGTCTTTGTCTAGATCGATTCCTAGTTTATCATTTAAATATTCTATACAAAATTCAGAATCTGGTATGTTCTCTCCATTATATTCAATCCATGGGAATTTTCCTTTCTTGCTTGGAGTGTAACTGTGTACATTCTAAAAAAAATACCCAGTACATATGAGATATAAAAAAAATCATCAAAGATACGAAGCCTATTACTTTTTACGTCAGACGCGCGTTTCGTCTACAATAGACCCATCAGAGACGCTCAAATAAAAAAACCCAGTAGATATGAGATATAAAATAATCACTTAAGATACAAGGCGTAAAATTTTGTACGCCAGACGCACGTTTCGTCTACATAAGACCCATCAGTGACTCGAGAATCAAATAGGTTAAAAAGCCAAATAAAGTATGAAGTTGAAGAGCAATGAGGACCAAAAATTTCGAAACGTTTTACCATATCAATGATAATCCCTATCATCACAGAAGTGCTGACTACTGGATTAGTGATACCCCGGGATGTAAACCTCCAGCAGCAGAGGCATCGACACAGTGGTTGTAAAAAACCTCATCAAAGATAACAGGCTTATAATTTTGTACGCCAGACGCGCGTTTCGTCTACAAAAGACTCGTCAGTGAAAAAAGGATAGAGATATGTTTATTTAAAAAAATAACTCGTGTATATATATTTTTATATAATTCGTCTCAAATTTAACACACAACTCTAGATAAAGCCGACGAGGAAATGCATTACATCGACCACCGAAAGCTATATTTTTATGTAGCCTAGGTGGACGAGTGGTCTATGGCGCTGGACACGGTGCAGGCGATGTTGTCACGATGTCACAGACGCAAGGGTTCGAATCCCGCTGAGGGAAGAACAAAAATTTGCCAACGCAAATTTGAAGATCTAACATTGTTGGGCTAAATTTGGGACGAATTATATATATATATATAGTGTTAGCCCTGTATAACCACGTGTAATCCGATGGAGAATGTCATAAAGTTGTCACATGTTAAGACGTGAACATATAGTTCAGTCTAGGTGTCCTAGTGGTCTAGAGCGCTGTACACAGTGCAGGTGGTGTTGTCTCGATATCTCAACAGCATGAGTTCGAATCCCGACGAGGGAAGAACAAAAATTTGCTTCCGCAATTTTGCAGATTTGTTGTGCTGATATTTAGAGTAATTATATATATATAAGTAAATGACAACTCTACAACAGATTTATCCATCGAATCACCAGCAGTGATGGTGATACATGGCTGTGTACATTCTGTATATACAACTCGTCTAAACATCAGCCCAAGAATGTTAGCAAATTTACAGATCTAACATTGTTGGGCTGATGTTTAGACGAGTTATATATATAAGTACGTCTGAACCAGTGACAACTCTACAACAGATTTATCAATCATGATACATGGCTGTGTACATTTTGTATATACAACTCGTCTAAACATCAGCCCAACAATGTAAGATCTGTAAATTTGCTTTCGCAAATTTTTAGTTCTTCCCTCGCCGGGATTCGAAGTCATGCTACTGAGAAATCGTGACACCAAATCGCCTGCACTGTATCCGACGCGCTAGACCACTCGACCACCTAGGCTTCACAATAATAAAGCTTTCGGTGGCCGGGTGTTACCGGGTATCCGATGGATAAATCTGTTGTAGAGTTGTTACTGGATTAGACGTACTTATAAAAATATAATTATTTCTGTGACTGTATCTTGCATTAATTTGTAGGATCCTTTACAATAGATATTTCAGCTGATCTGTAACAATTCCATCTTCATGCCTTATATATCATGTACTGTATTACGACGCTAGATTAAAACTGACGAGGAAAGGTAACATCCGGCCACCAAAAGCTTTATTATTGTGAAGCCTATGTGGTCGACTGGTCTAGCGCGTTGGATACAGTGCAGGTGATTTGGTTAGATCTCTAAATTTGCGGAAGCAATTTTTTTTTGTTTTTCACTGGCCGGGATTCGAACTCATGCTACTGAGATATTGTGGCACCAAATCATATATATATGTAAACTATACATATAAAAATATAAGTTGTTGTTATATTCATTTTTTAGTTGTTATGGCTTTGAACTAGTTGTCAGAAACTGCGAGTACTCTCAGATCTGTACCTAGTGTCTTTTTGTTGTTAGGATGTATAAGTACCCTGCCACGTCCACTCTTTGTTTTTGTTATATGTATTTCTATTTGTATCCATCTGATGAGTTAAGCCCTTACCAACTGATTTTTATAGTCTGTTCTTATGTTGTACTGTTACACTACTGTCCCAGATTTGGGGGAGGGTTGTTGCCTTCAAACGAGTTTAACCCCGCCACATTCTGTATGTGCCTGTCCCAAGTCAGGAGCCTGTAATTCAGTGTTGCTGTTTAACATATTTGTTTTTCGTTCATTATTTTGTACATAAATTAGGCCGTTTATTTTCTCGTTTGAATTGTTTTACATTTGTTATTTCGGGACCTTTTATGGCTGACTATGCGGTATGGGTTTTGCTCATTATTTAAGGCCGTACGGTGACCTAAAGTTGTTAACTTCGGTGTCTTTTGGTCTCTTGTTGAGAGTTGTCTCATTGGCAATCATACCACATCTTCTTAGTCTTATATTTTGTCATAAAACTAACGCTAATGATTTTGAAACTGACTTTGACCCAAGCGTACAAGGCTAGTGATGGCGACTAGTCTGCATAAGGCACCAAGATACATGAAGAAAGCGCATGTACGATGAGAGTGATGAGTTTGTTTAAAAAAAGATAAAGTCTTGTCACAAAATGACAAGGCAAACTTTCAAAAACTATTGCGTATACAGTAAACGTTCGTAAAGTGTTGAACTTTCTTCAGCAATATTTCAATATAACACTCTCTAAAAAAAATAATGCTTATTTTTAAAAATAGTTTGGTAACATCGTTTGATTGGATTTGATTTTTGGTGTTTTAACGCCACTTTTAAGCACCGCTTTTTGGCTATTTCGTGGCGGCCAGTTTTTATTGGTGGAGGAAGCCGGAGTGCCCGGAGAAAACCACCGACCTTCGATAGGAAAACTGACAATCTTAGTCAATTAAGATTGGAGTCGAGTGCAACCGCACGAGCGGGGTTCGAACTCACAACCTCAGTGTTGACTGGCTAGTGATTACAGTAGTAACTACTTAGACTACTCGGCCACCGAGGCTCAACGTTTGATTGGAAGAAATATCCTTATGTTATTTCTTTAATCAAGAGCTTTTGTTCAATTTGATAAATGAAATTTTTCGTTTTTACTCTATGATATACTAGTATATGTTCCATATCATGTACGGATTTTCTAAATAACCGTGATAATATTTCAAACACAGAAGAATTGTAAGCTAGCATATTTGATCCATTGTACTAAGCGTATCAAATGTGCTTCGTTTAATCACTGTTCTCTCACATTTAGATAATTTATAAAATAAACTAAAGAAACTTTATATGCTAGAACATTAAACAAACGATCGAAAAGAAATCAACATATGATTCGAAAAGAACGCAAGATGGAGATAGAGTACTAAATAAATAAAATAATAGAGGTCTGGTCGACATAGCAAGCCGTCTTAAGGTCAATTATACAACGAGCAAACAAAGATTTTAATGTCAAATCACAAAATAAAAAAACGAAACTTGATCCTTATATCGAGAAGTTAAGTTATTAGTGACGAATAGGTAGAGCTTCTGATTATTTCACACCAGATTAAACTTTAATATAATAGATATACCTACTTCATAGGGAATGTTTGCCATACGCAGGTAAGTTTCTAATTTAATAGCATATGGTGTCATACTGGGTGCATATGGACCTCGTCCAATCTGATGAAGTATTACTGTATCTGGTGGATGATCCTTCCTAAAAAAATGCATGAACAGGTTGTTGAGGTGCTTTGCTTTTTATTTGTTTTTTTGTTGCATCTTTTTTGTAACAGGTAAACTAATAATACTTTCAGCATATGCTAACGTTCTGGTTCAAATTAAAGTGGTACCTAACACTACAGGGAGATAACTCTGTAAAAATCAGCTAAACGTTTTAATTACGTTGTATTGTTAAGGAAATATTACGCTTCTCAATGATCAAAATTAGTGTTTGTCAAACTGCTATATAACCAACGAAATTTTTCTGATAAAGTGGTTGGTTCAAATTCTTTGAAATTTTTATATTTTTGTCAAAGGGTCAAAGTAAACATTATGTCAAAATTTTATGAAAATTAAACGAGCCAAATTAATTTTAGTCAAGGTGTTGGGTACCACCTTAAAAAAAGAAATATTAATCAATCGAAAAGCAAATTTATTTTTTTGAGAAAAAATATTTTTGTAATTTAGAACAGCACTTCGTCACAATTAGGTATCTTGCAGTCCATTCATAGGTTCATAGGTTTATTTTTTAGGACGGTAAAAATCGAAGGGCATATGATAAGGTAAACACATATATTCAAACAAATTTCATTGATTCTTTTTGGTTTACATAAACATTGATACAGATAAAAATGCATCTCGACGTTGCTTATGTTGGTTTACATTCTCATTTGAAAACAGTGAATTGTTAAATATATTATTATATATGATGTTTTAGAAAATGGAAAAACAACATTATCAATATAGTACGTCAACGTTTAGATCTTCTCAAATATTTTTTGCTCTGAAGTGCTCGCAGGGTATTTATAAATGTGCTATAATTATTATATATCTTGATGTTCAGTATACAACGTACAAAAAAGATAACATTGTAGAGTTGATGAAATTATGTGAATATAAAGAACGTAACTTACTTGGGAGCTTTGCTTATTATTTTTTTCCATGCGATGTAAAGCACGGCCGACGAAATCAGGAACGTTCCAGTTGCTTTTGACCAAAACAGTAAATTCTCGCTCTCCATGTTTGTGTCTAACATCTGTGTACACACCTTTGCACACAGATAGAGTATATAAAAGTGTGTATTTAAATGTCTAGTTAACCAAGTTATATTTAGATAATGAATAATTCATACATTTCCAACTAATTTTTAAACAGTCTTAAGATTTATAGGATATCACATTGAATCGTACAGAACCTGATGTTGCGTTCTGATGGGGGTTAGATCGTACTAAACAGAGTTTTATCCCTTACTTCATACTTCAGAGAACAGCGTGCAATAAGAACACTTTCATCTAACTTTTAGGTTACAATGAGGTAAATATTTACATAGGCGACAGTGGTAGGCTTTTTTGGATTCTACGTTTTCACTTTAAATATCCGTTTCAAAACTGTCAAATTCTGAATTTTCAACAATAAAAATGCAAAACACGGGGCCGCAGTGTTATTTTTTGTTTTTTTTTTATATAGAAAAATGGCATTTTTTAAGGGAGCTATATGGTTCCGCTATTTTCGAAAACGATAGAATGAAAAACACCCCTAGCTTACATTTGCACATAAAATTTTGTTCATCATAAAGTTTCCTGCAAATTTCTTCACCAAAAGCTGACATTCATTTCTCACTATTTCAATTTTCTTTTTTTTAACAGGGCAGCAGAAAATAAATTTACTTCTAGCTATGATCTTGGATGTAAAACTAGATGGAGCCCGTCAAATTCATCTACTTCCTTTTTAACCTTTAACAACTGTAAAGTGTCTGTTAACAAGAAGTAGGATCCAGTATTGCTTCCATGGACGATGTAAATGAACGAAAAGGCATTTGAAGGAAGGAAGTCAAAGATAATGATTTGACCATACATCTATACAATGAGGCGCGGTTGAAGTCAAAATTAGTGTATTTAAGGAGCTCATGAAATATTTACAATTCATTAATACAATACACTTTAGCACGTATTTACAACTCCTCATCAATCAAATTGCTTTAATTTGCCTTCTAACTTTTATAGTTAATACTTTTTCTGTGTACCAAGTAACTATGCACGAATGACCACAAAGGTAAGATTTCATTGTACTGAACAAGAACCGAAAGGTGTCAATGGCTATTTGGGAATAAAATGTTGTTTAAAAGTTTATTAATGTGTTCATCAGTCATCCATGCAGTTACTTTATACACACAAGAGTATGTACTATGAAATCTTGTGAAGGGAAATTCAAGCAACTTGGTTGGACGAGGATTTGAAAAATATACTTGAGAAGAAAAAAAATAATACTTTCCCTCTGGTATCTTTCGTCCCTCTTTTTCAATAAAATGATGATGATGGCAATCATTTTTTTCAAACAATCGTAAGGAACTCGATCATTTTCGTGATGAATTGTGTAGGTTACGTTGAGTCATGTTAGACGGACATACATATCAAAGTAAGTTACACAATCAAGATTGATAAAATAGAACTGGCTGGTCGAGTACTGGTTCAGACCTTTTAGTATGGTTTAGATTCGGATTGAGTACAAAACAGCACAGTAGAGCATGGTAAAGATTAGGGTCGAGTAATTTCCAGTAAAATTCAGACTACTAGTAGTTCAGAATACTCGTGTACAGTCGAGTATGAATACTGCCCATTTCAAACTTTATCTTGCTTGAATCGATAATAATTAGATACACATATCAGCCACAACAGGCTTAGACTAAACAATGTTTTGCTATAAGATGTCTTATATAAAGGTGCTGATGTAGATGAATAAACTCATCAAAGATACCAGGTTTAAAATTGTGTACGCCAGACGCGCGTTTCGTCTACAAAAGACTCATCAGTGACGCACAAATAAAAAAAAGTGAAAGGGATAAATCAAGAACGAAGTTGAAAAGCATTGAGGACCTAACATTCTAAAAAGTTTTGCCAAATACAGCTCAGGTAATATATCTATTCCTATGGTAGAACAACTCTATCATTTCGAAAAATTCTAAATTTGGTAAACAGTTTGTTAAACATTTGCCATTTCGGGGCTTTTTATAGCTGACTATGCGGTATAGGTTTTGCTCATTGTTGAAGGCCGTACGGTGACCTATAGTGGTTGATTTCTGTGTCATGTGGTCTTTTGTGGAGAGTTGTCTCATTGGCAATCATACCACATCTTCTTATTTTTATATTTATAGTTACGACTTTAACAATGAAAATTCATGTAAACACAGAAGTGCTGACTACTCGGCTGGAGGAAACGGCAGTGGCATCGACCCAGTTGCTGTAAATAAAATATCTTTTAGGATATGGCGGAGGCTCATATTCAATTTCGTCGAAAATTATCTCAGGCAAATAAGTCAATTTCGGAATGTGTATTATGTAATAGTGACATCAAAGAATATTGAGTTTCTGACCTGAAATGTCAAGATAATATCATTTATGTATTGATAAAAATGATATAATTATAAAAGGACGAAAAACTTATAATGCTGTCTCTTTTAGTAATGATCTTAATCGAGGTGAGGGGATACCTTTTTCTGTTAACCTGTTTTGGGCTATTTCAAGGTGTTGTTAACTGTTATTTGAAATATATATAAACTGTTAACTGTTTTCAACCCACTGTCTGTTATTTGTTCTGTTTAAATTGGCAATATTGTTAACTGTTTTATATGAAAATGGGATTCCTGTGATATGTAACTTGACACTTTAAGTGTTCACTGTTTTCAACATATATTTATCTCTGTTAACTAATTTTCAAGATTCACACAATCACATCAAATTTGCTGTTAATATCTTTCTTTACGGTGCTCCCTCAAAGGAGTAACATAAACAGCATATATAACATAAACAGCGTATATGTAATTGTCCAAAGACAGTTACATATATGCTATGTAACTGTCTTTGGACAGATCAGAATCACTGGCACTTATCTCTGAATTTGTTTTCCCTATATACCTTAATATAACACCAGCAGCCGGTTGTACGAACGTGTCATTAGTCTAAAGAGTCATTAAGTCTTCATTAGCCTAATGCATCACAAAGGCTTAATGAAGACTTAATGACCCATTAGGCTAATGCCACGTTCGTTCAACCGGCTGCAGGTACTTAACTCGCGTTTTTTGAAAAATGTCACCCGGTCGTGAATTTCCGTTTTATTTCGATTTCTCGGTTGTCTACCCAACTAAAACTTGTTATGCCGTAAATCTAAATTGATTTATCTACACATTGATGTCATTTTAAAAATCCGTCAATATTTTTGTACGGCTGTCCTGTGAGGAAAATATGGCTTTATCATTATTTGAATTTTGGTGTCCTACATAGTGCATCATGCGTAAGTTCTACTACTTGCAGAAGAAAAATAAGGAATAGGTACACGGATTTTCTTGGAAATCGTGCTCAAAGCCTCAAAAATTACCCCAAACTACATGTCCCCACTCCAAAAATACCAAATATGGTATCAACAAAGATATCTTTATAATTACACAAATCTTACAATTTTCTGTTTTAAGATAGAAAATAAATGTAGATTGATATTATAAAGGCTTTGAATATTAGCTGCTTATGGTTTCAGATTTATTTAAATTTTTTATAGTGTACTTGATATTTTGTCAACTACATAACGAAAACGTTTTTGCTTGCTATAATATAACTTATGACACCCCTTTTTAACTAGAAAGTGCCTCAGTACTAACTCTACATATCATTATAATAATGGAAGCATAAAAAGACAACCCTGTAAATGGTATCAACAATTATTGCATTTTTTGGCATTTAATCAAGTAGAGGTAGCCCCGTATTTATTTAGTTTGTCCACTTGGTAACGGGATTTTTTTCAAGATAAGAATGGAACACCACATCCACATCTATATCATTATAATCAATTTTTTGTGTTTTATAGGAAAAGTACATTGGATGTGATGTCAAAGTATTAGTGGTATTAAAAATGCCCCAAAGTGTGAATATGTCCACTACATAACGGTCAACTACATTACAATTCCGTTATGTAGGTGACAAAAAGCAAAAGTCAAAATAGGTAGTTGAACACTGTAATAACCAAAGTAATTAGAAAAAAGTAAATTTATCTTATAATATTTAAGCAAAAGGTCATCATTCATTAGTACCAAACGTTAGATATCAACATAATTGCTATCGCGGTATCTAGTTGACAAATTCCATAATTTCTGTAATCTCATTTTGCTTTCAAAATGATCTTCCCAGTTTCATTAAGACTGCATATTTTAGATTTTGCCGGTTCATATAAATAATTGAGAGTTCATTAGATTAATCAAAATTGAATTAAGTTGAAAAAAATATTTTCTCAATTTCCATCTAAAATATGGACGGATTTTGAAAACAACCCATAACACGCCTACCTTTTTGTCGGAATCATTCGTAGCAGGCCTTCTCAAGTATGTCAACCGTAATTATTTTGTACACCCACAACCGATTGGAAATATAAGGATCGCAGTTAAGAACCTTGTGTTTTGTTAAGGTATATAGGGGGGGAAATTCAGAGACAACTGCTTGTGATCAGAATGCCAAAGATGTATAAAGACAATGGGACTATACTATAAGGCTCATTAAAAAAATCAATATCGTTATCATTTTAAAATTGCTTAATCACGATATTGTTCACCACTTTGTAAGTTGGCTGATAATGTGAAGGTTAAGGTATTAACAGACAAACGTTAGGGCAAAACAGACGAAATCGCGTAATATCCAAACAAAGTGAGATCAGACGAGTATAGAGAGGATCGGTATATGTTGTCTTCTTTACTAGTCATAAGATACTTATGTCCAGTAGCAATCATAATGGTCTCGATGGTGTTCACAGATTAAAGGGCAAATAAAATAAAGATTCGAACAAATGGTAATAAAGATAAAGAATAGAGATGAATGGGTGTTAAAAAAAAGAATAGAGAATAATGGACAAAAAATATAAAGAATTTAGAAAAATGTCTTTAAAAATAAATTAAAAAAAAAGAGAAATGAAGACCTCCCATCAAGATCTTTAACCATCACGAATGCAAATACAAATGTAAGAGGATACCTACCGAGGGTGGAATCAAACCCGTAGTTCAAATGAAATAAGGACAACACCATGGTCAAAATGGAAGCAACAGTAGTTTTCCTATGTTCAAATAAAAAATTAAAAAATCCATTCAAAAGGTACCAATGAAGATAAAACAATGAAGGGAAAAAATTGAAGGAATAACAGGATCTTCAGAATGAGTGAAACCGGACGCATTTGCCAGAGTAAGCGTCCCGCCATCTGGGACTAAAAGTGCTAATCCTAAAAAAAAAGACGACCAAAAAACTTAAATATTGACGAAACCGACCCAAACCAAGGTGGACATAGGTGCTCTGGAAGAGTAAGCAGTGCTTGCTTCACTACTGAAACCTGTGGTGTTCATAAAAAAATCCCTAAGTCACAATTAAAGTTGTTGTTAACTGTTATCAGCATTATATATTTGTTGTTAACTGTTTTTGCCAAAATCGAGGTGCTGTTAACATGTTAACGGACCCCCTATTGCCCCCCCCCTCTTAATCGAATCCATTCACTTCAAGTACATCTTAATCATTTGAATATTGAAGAAATAAGAATGAATGAATTTTATTTCAGATGTATATGCCCACGTTTTTATGATAATGTACACAAGCTCATTACAAAAAAAAATAATCATTTCGTTGCCTCTTTTGTATATCCATGGGTAATACATTCGTCCCAGTCAGGCCAGAATGTCTCCTTCATCCTTTCACAATAGTCACATAAGTTTCTATATTCTGAAAATAAAAATTGAGATTTCTAAATTGTTTAAGTTCAGTTAGTTTTCGTATGGTTATCAATGTATTTCATTTGCGACATTATTTTATATATATGTCAGCAATATTTATGTATTTGAGGAAAAGGCATATTTTGATAAAGAATTAGTAAACGGTTTGCATTGTTTTCTCATTCTTCATATTGTACATTTATATTTGTTACAAAAAAGAAGAAAGAAAACAAAAATGTTTTTTTTCTGAATGAAAATTTTAGTTGGAAGCTTTTTGTGTCAATATAGACGGCAGTATGCATAATTAAAAATCTATAGGAAATCTCAAAAGCTTTTAGTTTTAGTAGGTCGTTTGAAATAAAAAGATGTCAATCATGCACACCATTTGGATTATTTTCTGTTATACATGTACGAGGAATTATCTTAACTAATCAGAAACCATTTAAAGCAATAACATTGAATTTACAATCAATAGGTAGTTCAAAATGTGAAAACAGAAGAAGGCATTTGATCAAATACTTTCGTTTCATAATGTT